CCCTTGCCCCACCCCTGCTCAGCTCTTCTAATTCTGACCTGCTCATCCCTCCTGACACATCGCTGCTGACTGTAAGCTGGCTCATTGTCCAATATCCCTTGTTTGTCCTCCTTCCTCACGACCCTTTCCCTTTGGCCATCTGATTGCTGCTGTGGCCAAATTGTTAAAGTACTGTGCTTGGCCAAAAAGAATTGTCAAGAGTTAATATCCAAGTTTCACAAAAAGTGGAAAATTTGGGGGAGGGGAGGAAGAACTGTTGCAATATCAAAGGAAAAGGAAACCGAAGTTTTAGCAGTGAGTTCCCTGGGAGTGACATACTCAGTCCTCTTAAGTCTCTAATTTAAGGTTTCCCTTGTTCCAACAACCTCCCCTGTGTGGCAGCTACCAGTCTCTGTCCATTTCTCACTGCTATTCTTGCTCCCACACTCAGAAGTTGTCCTATATTCATCTTGGTTGTTCTGTTGTCTTCCTATGAGGTTTTTGTTTTCAGCCTGGTCAGGTTTGAAATATTTTGCAGTTTAAATGATTTTCAGCTGTTTTTGCTGTACTCTGGTTTGCTCCTCCTTTTATATTGCAAATACCTGTGGCCTCTAATGGTTTTCAAAAATCAGTACTGCTTCTATATTTTTGTATGAATTATGCAACTATATTTTCTTAACAGTGTCGCAGCATGTATCTTAATGTAAAGATGTTAACTTCGTTCAACCCTAACCTTTTTAAAGTAGACTTTTCATTAATTTTAAAAATAAGTGTTTTAAGGTAATAAAATTGAGTAACTCCTGTTGAACAAACTTAGGGGCCATTTTATCTTTAATAGTTTTTACCAAGCAAGTAAGTTATAGTGTAGAATGGTTTTAAATTAGATGGTTAAAAGAAAAATTCACAGCAAAATCCAATTGGCTAAAATGAGGCCTATTGCTGATTGAACTTCAGCTGTTTCTTGGTTCTTTGTCTCAATTGTTCTGCTTGTTCAGAACTTTCAAAAGGTGAAAATTCATGGCATTTAACTGGAAAGAGTGGCATGCTCTTTGATCTAGTGGTGGCTTTCTTTTTGGAAAATTAAGTTCACAGAGTTCTTAGAAGTCTTGTTCTAAATAGTGTTCTGTACTAGCCTGTAAAAGCTACTCTTACAAGATAATGCTTATAAAAATGTCTCATTTTTAACAAACGATAATAAAAGTTTGTCCCCTTAGAAAGTGTCACCGTGTAGGACTATGTACTAAACTAATACTACTATTGCCAATGTACTTTTTTAGATCCACACCTTTGGAATTGATTGCTTTTAAGCCTTTAGTATATCCTGTTAAATATTCTCACTGTTGACAAATTTTTATTTTTGGAGGTTGGAGTTGAATTTTTGAAATATTCCAAAGTCCCTTGTTCCTAAGGCTGGTAAATATGGGATGTGATTGATCTGAAATGTATTTATTTTTTTGGTCTCCCAAATAAGGAGAGATTCTAAAGCAGTAATGATTAATCTAAGGAGTTCTGGAGTTCGTTTAAGAGGATCAGTAAATACTCTGAGTCAAATGCAGAAAGGATCCATTTTATTTATTTTTTTTGAGCCAGAAATTATGGACATAATTGGGCATGTGACATTGTCTACATATTTTGTAATGTTACAAACATTTAACTTTAAGTGCTCTTTATTTTTGTAAGTTCTGTTGTAAAAATACTTGAAGTTTTACTTTATTGAAATATTACACATTTATAAACTAAACTTGGATAATCAGGAGATAGATAAGTAGGTCATGCACTTCCGGTTTTCAAGGAATGGTATAATTCCAAAAAAACATGACATCTACCTATGTTAAATCTGCCCTTTTAACTGATGACATACATTTTAAAGCTAGCTAATAAAAATGATTTATCTGTGCAGTATACTACAAATTATACTTAAAGATGTTTGTGTAGAGGATACTGTGATTCGTCATTCTGAAGGTGCACTGTGCAAAAGTTGCAATGTTTTGAATGGTATTTTAATGAATAATATAAAACTTCCTAAATTGTAAATATCAGTTCTGTTTATGCTGCCCACCTCCCTCATTTTTCATATCTATTCCTTTTCCAAATGTAAGGTCAACCGCTCTTCCTGACAGAGCATCTCACTTACTTTTTCTGCCCTCCCCCACCCCCCCTTCTCTCATTTACCTTCCAACTCTTAATCTTTTAACTCCTTATAATTCAAAAACTTTCATTTTAGGAGAGAGCCTGTTGTTTCCTTCCTTTTCTCTATGAATGTAAATGCCTTTTTTTGTTACCTTAAGGAATTCTTCCTCATCTCCCTCAGGCCTCTTCTAAAGGTTAGATGAGTTTTATGTGGATTTCCTCATCTCAGACTTACTGGTAATGCAGGGCAAATGGACGGAAAACTGTCATAGATGACAACATAAAGTGTTTAACCAGATCTTAATAACATGTTTGTCTGCCATGAAAGTGGAAACTGAAAGTTATGTTGACTAGGCTCAAGTAATATATCCAACTTTCTGAGTAACAGGTGTCACTATAATTCACGATAATCAATTTACCACCCAAAATTCCTGACTTTCTGGGCAGGAGTAGACTAGGTCTGTTGTTTGTTCTCCTTCGTAAAGAAGCTTTCTCTAAAGCGCATGTTTTGTTTCCCACCCAAATCCACTTCCCTTGACTTCTTCGAAGAACACCTGTTTTTATCTGGGTGCCCTGTCTGCAGGGCCACATACTTACTGGAGGCTGTGCTCTTTCAACCCCCGTAAGTAAAGGATGATTGTCTACGCCGATGATGATGGTTTCATTCCTCCTGCTAGTTATTGTGAAAGCAGGATTCTTAACCTACGCTTCGTCAGTGGCAGTTGGAGGAGAAGTCTGCTCGGGAGCTTTCATAACATTTTCTCAATAATAGAGATGTCTAAAAGGAAATGCCTCTTATGTTTTGGATATTTGTTGTGTTACATGGGACACCTGGAACTGCTCAGATCGGGGAAGGAAGACAGGCTGACTGCAGAGTAGAAAGCTGGAATGTCTGTGATAATATTGTGATGCTGAATTAACCAATTCTGGAAACTTCCTGCCTCTGGACCTCTGCTGTATAAGATTAATAACTGTCTAAGCCACTTTCAGCCTGTTTTTTCAGTTACTTGTAGTTGAAAATGTTCCACGTGATACCCACTAGTCCTGATATTTAAAGATTCTTTAGAAGTAAAGCTGTTAAGTATTTCC